CTCAGATATAACTCCCTGTCACTTGTTAGGTACAGATTAAAAATAGCTGTTTCACAAATATCCTCCTGCAGTTAAAAAAAATTAAATGACTAATTTGTAACAAGTTATTCACCAAATTGAGTCTTCTTCATATCCCATAAAACAACTTCATCATTAAATTAAGGAGATTACCATATTAAATCACATACACAAACAAACATGAAATCATTTATTATTCTTAGGAAATCAAAACACACTCTAGGGAATTAGCAGGAAGAAAAGCAGCTGCATAATCTGTTAGTATGTGTAGGTAAGCACCTAAACTTCATTAAAACACTAATTCAACAAGTAAAAGGTTACACTTGCAGTGAATCTATTTTTTACCTACAAGTAACTATAAAGAAAAAGGAAACAAAATTTTAATAGAGCTTTCTTCACAGTGTAGAATTCATATCTAGTGTAATAATGCTTCTTTTTAAATGACTTTGTACAGTTATGAAATATCCTGTATGAAGGAGGAATTAGGCCAAACAAAGAAAGTCATTTGACCATTTAACTTCAGAAGCATGCCAAAGGAAAATCCTGCATATATCATAAAATGTTGCTTTATCTGGGAGAAAGGTAACCAAAGAATTTTGTAGGAAAACAAAAACAACAACAACAACAACAACAAAACAAAAAAAACAAACAAACAAACAAACAAACAAACAAACAAAAAAACGGGAGAGGGAGAGGTAGAGGACAAAATTAGGTTAAAAAAAATAGAAACTAGTTATATGAAATACTGGTATTACTAATAGCATACATTTCCATTTTTGCACCTCCCTGATTTCTTGACTAGCAGCTCAGTTTTAGCGTATCCTGGTTAAAATCTTTTCCTTAACTTCCACAGTATTATTTTACTCATGCTTCTTCTTAGATTGCTCTTCTCACCTAACTTCAATCAAAATGAATCAGAGACACATAGTTCCAAGTCAATTGTATCAAATGTTTTTTTTCAGTAGGACACTGAACCTGGCAAATACATACTTGCCCTTCGATAGCAGAAGAAGAGTACTCTCAGTATTATTACTGTCCAACTATATCCAACTATGATGTGGGAGCTACTTCCCATTTTCATTTAAAACTTCAGTAAGCCTTGCTTTTATCATGCACAAAACTGGACCACTTTCTTTAATTCTATTTTCTGATGACTTCTAAGCTACAAGTGTCATGACTGCAAAGTCTTCTCTCATTCTATTAATCTCTTATTTTATTGTCTCCAATTTTTTCTATTGTATTATCTTAATGTAAAAATCACTTAAAATTCCAAAGCAATTATCTTTTCAGCATTTTTATTGCATCATGCTAAAGTATTAGTTTACAACGAATGTCCTAGACAGTTCTTTGGAGGGAATGCCCTGCATATTCTTTTGATCAAGAAAATTTTCTTGATTTTCTTTTCAAAGTAAATTTCTCTGAGAGGCTACACATCAGCTCTTACAAATTTCAAATCTTTATTCTTTATTATTCATGAGGTTGTTTTTTAAATTAGATTAAAATTTCATACTCAGAATACTGTGTATGTAAAAATGCTCTATATTTTTGCACTCAGTATTTATCAGCACTCTCAATTTCTATTAAAATTGGCTTTCATATGCTGAGAAATACATTCCATGTTGGAGAGGAACTAAGCTTGAAAAACACATTATGACCAGAAAGGTAAGGAGGAATAATTATTATTTTAAAAAATACGAAAAACAAACATGCAACCACACAAGAGAAACAATAATGGAGCACAGTGTTCCATTCTGCACAGCAGCCTACAAGATGTATCAGACCCAAAATATGAGAAAACCCAATGTTGATATTAGATATAGTATTCTCAAGTACCACAGTGCTTCCCTGTACCTGCCATATACAGCTACTAAAGTGAACATGAAAACATAGAATTGATATTCAGATTAGAATAAAGGACACTCATTCCTACCTAAGAAGAAAGCAGATAGCTAAATCAGATGACTACAATAGCAATTAGTAATGAAAACTTCATGTTAATTAAGCAACAGAACCTGTTAGGTCATCTTAATTATGAATGCTAAGTTCTGATTTGAGGCATAAAACACAGTGGGAGATTAATAATGGCACAGTAGAATTCTGAATTTATATCACTCTATTCACAGTACGCTTGTCTTGAATGGTGACTGTCACACTTAAGTGTAAGAACACAGTTATATTGTTTTATGGTGTTTGTTTTTCCTTCTAAGTATGTTCAGCTTGGACAGACACAATAGTAAGTCAGGTATACTAAAGTAAAGTTTTTTTTGTTCCTCTGTACAGTACATTTTATAACAGGACTTCACAAAATATTCACTGCTCATTACTGATAAATTTTTCTATACCAATTTGATTACTATGAATAATTATGCAAGCAAAATATGATGATATGATGTTGGTATGCTAATGAGAGAGTTAAATATGCCTATAGAAAATAGCTTTAAGCCAGTAAACTTTACAAGTGGGAAATCTATGAATTACTAAAAATAAAATATTAAATTTAATTAAATGTCAGAATTAAATTGACAGTTCTAACTCTGGCATGATGTCTAAGCTGATCTACATATGGTGGAAATCTTGGAGGAAGAACAACATAACTCAAATACCAACTGAGCATATAAATTCTGTGATCCAAAAGTGACTGATTTTAATACCACTTGAAACCAATCGCAGTTGCTTGTGGTTTCTACTCAGAGAAATATATACCTTAGGTTTTTATTTGGCAAATTCTCTGCTTTCAGATGGTAAAGGGCTTTTTTTTCTTTCTTTTTTTTTTTTTTTTGACTCAAACCAAAGCCATTTTGATACTGTTTTTCTGGATAAACTGCCTCCATTCGCAACCAATGAAAATAAAACAACTTTTCCAGATCAGCCTGTATGACTATAATAGAGTATTCCTTAGCAGCAATCAATACCTGTGCACAGTCTTTAATTCCTCGGTGTATTTCTGACTTAAAATACATATTAACTACAGTGAAATGAAAGTTGAATTTGTCTAACCTAACAACTATTGACAGTCAATAAAATGACTTTATTCCACTGAGTACAGAAAGAACTTTGTGCAAAGAGATCATGACATACATTTATGTCTTCCCAAACTAGCTCTTTTAAAATTCATTTGTTTATACCTTTTCTGCTTCTAAGAGCTAGATCATACCCCTTAAAACTTGTCAAAATTCTTTGCCTTTAAAAATACTTTAAATTCTATTTGCATATCTCAAGTATCTAAAACTAATGTAATCAACTAAAAAACTAAATATAATCAAATTACATTTTGATGCTTCACCTCTATAAACAATCTCCATAAAATATTTGTCACAATTAGTATGAATGCTCGGTTCTTGTGGTGACTACAGAAAGCATTCAGATATACAAAGAGGGCTCTTAAGGGTCAAGAAAAGAATCCCATATGTTTTTCATGCATTTCTTCATCTTTTTCTATCCTGAGAGAAAGTATTGCTGTTATGTACAGTCTCATGCAGTAACATGCTAGCAATAATAAGCTTCTGCATCACAACACAATCTTTTCTAAGAATGTCACTTTCTTTATAGCACCACAAAGAACAAAACCATGAGAATTGGCTCCTGGAATTCTATTCCAGTTTTTATCACTCTGTGATTTTACTGCCCACAGCCCAGTGTTTTGATAATGTAACTGCTGCTACTGATCTTGGTAACCATTAAAATGTTTGAGGACTACCAAATTGATCAATGCTTAAAATATACAACTTCAATGAGTGAGATGAATTGCTACAATTTTTACTTTGAAAAAGATAAAAATCAAGGAATTATAGTATTAATGCAAACAAGAAAGCACAAAACAATGCCTTCAAATCATAGTCAGTAGCTCTACATGAACTACATGCATCCATCAAACATTTCAAGAATTTGGGGGGACAAACTTGCTTATTTGGAATTACTTAGAGAAAAGAACAATTGATCTTTACAGATTCCATAATATAACACTTTAAAAGCGCAGCATAATTAAACTCTTACATAGATTAATCTTAAAATGTTTCCAATTTTTATATTAAATACTACATATAAGGAAAAATAGATGAAAAAAAATTAAACAGGATAATTTTCTAAAAACAAGACAAAAAGAAAATTAACTTATAAAAATACATATTTTCATTTATTATCTAATATCTATAAAATCTTAAATCTTATCAGAAACAGCTGTTCACAAAATTACTTGTTACATGGCTCACATAACACAATCTATATAGTTACTATATAACTAACATATCTATCTTCAAGAATTTTTTTTTCAAATGGAATATTAAATGTTTTCTAAAATTCTAAAAAGCAGTAGAATTCTATCAGCAAAGATGTTACAAATCAGAAATCCAGTTATTCCAATTAATTTGAAAATTAAAATAGTTCTAATATAGGATATGTTTCAAATAAATCTATTCCTTTTAGCACCATATTAGATTTAATTCCAACAAATAAATAAAGGCAGAAAGTTACTGAATACTCAGCAATGAAAGTTTATCTGGATAAAAGTGATTTTCATTTTTGGGAACTGAACAGAGACTGGAGAATAACAGCAGTGAAAGAAAACAAAGATATAAAAACATATTTAAGTCAGTGCATAGAAACTGGAAAAACAAAATTCTTTGTAATTTTTATAAATTATATTTTAAAAAAGAATCAAGCAGAAATGAAACAAAAAACATTATTAAAGAGCAACCTAAATGAATAATAGAAAATATAAAGAAAGAGACTGTGATTTAGATTCATTTTGGCTGGGATTTGACATGATGCTACACAAATTAGTATGTAATTATTTTCACCAGTAACATGTTTTCAGACTGTAGAATATTAAATTAAAACCACTGTTATTGCCTAAATAATAATCACAATAATATTTGGACCTATGCCTCAAAAAAATTTATAGTCACAGAAATTAAAAATTGAGATGATGGGAGATATATTCACAAGCACATACAAAAAGAGTAGCTAAACAGTGATATTCATACCGTCATAAATCCATCCAGCAAACCTGAATCAGGTTTAGGAGGTGCTTGCAATCGCTCCATAGACCACTTTTCAATGATAGATGACACTTGGCTATTTTCCGTGTTTAAAATTCTGAATCCTGTCATATTAACTCCACTATACCGATATGGTTCCACATCTAAGGCAAACAGGTCCTGAAAAAAATAAACATTACATGAATATTTTGATACACTGCATTTTCATCTTTGAGACTGAGATGCAATACTACACTTGCTGTACATATAAGGAAGTATGTTCTGTTTATTTGGAGGACTGCACATTTCAGATAACTCAGCCAACCAGCAGTCCAGTTCACAGAAGAAGAGCAACTTCAATTATGATTAATGACTTCTATTTTCTTCTTTTGGTCCACGATGTCAGAGGCAGATTTTGGTGGTATGGCAATAGAGACTGAACTTTCACACCAATATTCTATTAAATTTTGTTGGAGTGTAACAGGTGAAATCACAAAAGAAGCCTGACAAAATAGTGTCTGACATGGAAATGCACATGAAAAGGCAAGAGGATTAATTGAAATCCTCCATGTTGAAAAAAAGGCATCCACTGACGCATCTCGATACTTGCTGAATGTTTATAGATACCGAACAGTGGATGTTAGTACAGTGACATGATGGGTGGTACACTTTAGCAGTGGAGGCAATGGTGTGAAAGACAAGCCACGTCACGGATGGTCATGCAGGTTTTCATGAGTGCAGCATTCAACTCTTTTTCATCATTAGCAAAAACGCATAGCAAATGATGGTGAATATTTTGAAAAACAGTGCTTTGTATCTGTGAATTCACTCTATCAAATGCTTTGTATCTGTTGTAGTTTCCACATAAACAAACAGGAGACATTACTTTCTGAACAGCCTAAGTATTCCTACTCTAATAATAGAAAAGCTCCAAGTAGGCATAAATATTATAACTAATCAGTAAACATCTTTTTTTATTTATTTTTATTTTATTTTATTTTATTTTTTTTATTTTTATTTTTTTTTTAATTTTTGGCTTACCAGAAACAGTCTGTTATATGATAAACAGAACAGACTTACTATATTTTCCCTTTGAATGAAAGTTATTTATCTTTAGACATTTAAATGAGAGGAGGGAAAAGGGAGACTGCACATGGTCTGCACCTTTTGATCACAGCTTAAATTTAACCAAAGTATTCTTCATATCTACTAATCATGCTTGCAAACACAGACCTATTCTTGATTAGGAATTTCTCTCTACAACTGTGACATTTGCCAATTGATTAAATTTCAATATTTGATGAACAAAATATCCGTGACTCATTTGGTTTAGCTAAGCACATTAAATGAATTTTCATTTGGTTTATTTCTTGGCTTTCCTGTTTCCCTTTAAATAATTTTTGAAAGTGACATAATGAGACATTACTGGCAAGCAACATATTTCTAGTTTCACTGAAGATAGAAACTGTCTAAACTTTGTCTTTAATTTCCTTTTTAATTTGCTCTTTGCTTAGAGTTTAATATAGTTTAAATTTCCATGAAATAGTCATTTATTTGTAATATTTCCCTGAATACAATTTTTTACTGATTAGAACTGAAGAAAATATAATATTGTACTATGGAAAACCAGAACATATTTCAATATTATATGTTAAGAAATATGTTAGAATATGAAATATGTTAACACTAATTTGTCTAAAAATCAACCACAGATGCCAGGCACTATTTTCAATTAGAAGTAGTAATTATGATACCATTTTCTACATATGACACTTGATTTATATAGGGGTCAAGTGTTTTGTATTTATAAATAACCTAACTCATTCCCACTTTTTAAAGAAATTTTTTTTTTTTTTTTTCCAAATGAAAGACTGACCAGAACAACGTTTCATCATTCTCTCAATTTTTGCTTTGAAAAAAACTCAGATGCAATGGTTTACCCCAAGTACATTCATGTTTACACTGGAATATAATAAATATACAAAACAATATTATATTCATATATTACAAATACACACAGGTTGGTGCATTAATCAGCTAGTGCATTAGACCCTGAATCAATCATGGGAGAGTACACACTAGACTGCTATAAACACTGTGGCTGGAAAATTTATTTGACAGCACTTTCAACATGTCAGGTAAGAAGCAATTAATATATCAAAATAAGTAATTTCTGATGCAAGCTCCAAAGCTTGACTGCAAAATCAGAACCTATAATCTGTCTATGCAAATTAAATTATTGTTTGATAGCACCAAATGAATATAGTCCTTATCGCTCCTAAAAAAGCAAATGTTATAATAGGGAAACAAGAATGACAGAAAATCTGATTTTTTAAAAATGACTTTAAGAATAATAATAAAATGCTAATGGACAGCATTCAACTCAAAGATGCAATTTTCATCAAAACATCAAAATAAAATTTAACAGAAACTGAAAATCCAAGACTAATGAAGGAAATTGAATTTGCATGTGATCCCAAATCCATGATATCACAACTTGCCATTCTATAATGAGAGGTATTTGTTCAGAGCCTTAACAGTTTCAATGAACTTCAGAATTTACTTTGTTTTCTATTCAAAAAGCTAATTCCATAATAATACTTCTGATAAACTCATTTTGTAATGCTGAGATGAACTGTCCATCCTACCACAAAGGATTCATTTTACTTAGGACTTAAACATGAATGACATTTTAAACATAGGTCATTTCAAGTATAGTTTTACCAAGTCACTTCTTCCTCATGTTTGAAATGGCTTGTGTTGTAAGATCAGTAATGAACTGTAAAAGGAAAACAGAGGAATACACACAACTCTGTTATCTACTTAACTCTATTTAGAAGTTTAAAACTGTAGTACTAAAGAGTCAGACATTTACTCAGAAATGCCACTTTCCAGGGCAAACTGTTGAACAATAATTAAATCATCTCGATGAGTTTTAACTGAAAGAAAGAAAATTCAACAGAGAAAAAATAATGTACTCACACTTCATTCTACAAACTTTTTTCTTGATTTGTCAGATAACGCAATTAAGGAAAGTAACAACTTTGCTAGATGTCATCCATATGTTGCCACTTACCAGTGTGGTAAAGATATAGTGATAGTATTCCGTCATCATTCCCATAGCTAAAGCCTTAAAAAAAAAAATAAAAAGATGAATGTTTCTGTGTTAACATAATAACTTTTAACACACTTACACTGCAAATGAAAAGCTGCAGAAGAAGACCGGTTTGGAACTGTACTAAAATTAGGTCCAGCAAGTCATTTCCTAGCAGTTAGAGCAGATTACTGACTATTAAAGAAGTTTATGAACCAGATCATCTGATACAAAGAGTACTATTAGACTGTTTAGAGCTGTAAATTGGAAAGAGGCTTATAGTTTTACATACGAATGGCTGCATTAACTCACCACATAAAATCTCAATTGACAATATTTCATTCATTATTGAGCCCCCTCATCTCCTTAAAAAAAATAACCTAACAGGATTTTTTTTCCCTATTTTAATTATTGGCATTATGCATTTAGAACAAGGACCCAAGCATATACTTCAAGTGTACACATTTTTTCCAACCATGAAAGAAAATACTCTCCATGTAAGTTTTTACTAGCAAGATACATAGTGTTTCATCATCTTCATCTGCTGCGCTGTCTATGTGATATCAAATAGTTTCTCATAAGCTGTGTATTCTAAAATGTTCGTTTTTTTTTTTTTTAACTCGTAAAAAGAAAATCTGCAAATATTTATTTTAAAGCAATAAGCTAGAAATATCACTGCATCATATGCTCCTTCACCTGAAGATCATGTATGGATACACAATATCTTCTCACTCTCCACAAAAGCTTCTAGAGTCTAGTACTATTTATGTAAACATTTTAGTATTTGACAGTTTTTCTTTTTTACCTCACTTTAGCACCTTAAAAAAAAAAAAAAAAAAAAAAAAGCTACACAAATACAGAATATTTTTCTCCTTTCCAGGAATTACAAAGATAATTCTTTGCCAATTTTCTACCAGTTAAACCTTCTTAAATATGCTGAAGGCAATAATTATACAATTGTAATAATAGTGAAATTTGTATACAAAAGAGATAAATGAAGGCTGTGCAAACTTTACTTGCATCATTGTCTAAGAAAGGAATAAATGACTAGTCTGTATGTTCTTTTTCAAACAAAAGTGAAAAGCTAAAACAAATTTGAAATAGCAGCTGCAGAACAGAGCTTTTAGCTTTGACAAGAGTGGCAAAAATTGTAACAACACTTTTTCAAAGGATGTCTTTGCCTGTATTTAGAACTGTAGTACAGTCTACCAACAGCAATTTGAATTCTATTAAACACAGGAAAAACCATTATCTTATGAGAAATATCCCAACTCCAGTAGAAACCTTACAACACCAAACACTGTTAGCATTTTTGTTTTTCGCTCTAGTAAGGTCATATAAACAGCTGTTTACACTCACGGATTTCACTCTCCAAGTAACCTCTCCATAAGAATATTTTAAATATCTCCACAAGAAAATTTTAAATACTGTCTGCTTTCCCTGGTTGCCTGGTAATGTAATAATCATTGAGATTTGCCTTGATAGAATCACATCATATCAATGGTGAGTTTTTTATTTTTTTTATGAAGTATTATTGGCCAGAAAACAGTAGTTGTCATGCATTTTTATTTTTTTTTTTTTTTCAAATTTGAAAGCAGAAGTCATGTTCAGCAGAACTACCAATCTTAGACACTTCTAAAATACTGCAATAATGAAGCTGGAAACTAAAAGATTACCGAAAAAAAAAATAAATTGAGGAGTTGTTCCTGTAACCTCTTTTTACATTCTTCAGGATAAGTGGAGTAGCCTGATAAAACAGTTCAGAATTTGATTTAAAGAAGTTGCATGCTCATTCTCAGATCTTAGAACATGATTAAATATGGAATGGTTTTCATTTTCTTCCCATTTCTCTCAGCTCATACTTTTTCTTCCCCAATTTTGTATGAAATAAAAGTTTCCTTTCAAGTAAAAAATATGAGGTACAGTATATATAATAATGTGCACTGATTGAGTTATTTGTAGTACTGCATCTTTGTACTGTTATTAATACATATTTTCTATCTGCATTTTTAAGATTTTAGAGGAATTAAATATACATTTAATAATTTGGGCTATACAATTGGACTAATTAAGCTGCATTACATTAAGTGAAAACCAGAACTGTAAGCAGATATTAAAATGTGTAAGAATTAATGAAAGAATCTTAATCAACACACAATAAAGCAAAATGATCATAGATGTGTTTACCTGCTGTTTTTACCTGCTTTTTTAATTGTACCCACAGCCGTACCTTGAGGTACCATTAACAAGAGATCTTTTTTCAAATGTTAAAGAATGTATTTACTGTTTTTGAACTAAACGATACAATATGCTAGCATACATAATATGAATGCAAATTGCGGTCACTAAAAAGCTGTGCATTAGAAATGTAGAGCACTGTTTTGTTTCAGGTATGTTTCCTAACCTAATTGCGAGTCATAGCTCAAATAAAAAACTTAGAGAAAAACGGTCTAAGGAATTCCAAGTCTTTGGGGCTAGGAATTCTAAGTCTTTGGGGTTAGCTCACTACATTAAAGAAGATATACAAAGACATGCATTTATTGCACACCTCAGGATTACTGGCAGCTTTTTTTACAAGCTCCTTGTTTTTTTTAAATATAATCTTTCTTATATTGCCATCTTCTCTTCAGTGACAGCATTGGAATATGCTTCAGCAATAAAAACACTGTATTTGGGATTCTGCTATCTCTTGCCTACTCATCTTACACAACAGAGCAAACACTTCGAAAGCATCTGCCTGAATGTATTCAGGTCCTTCACAGTCTTGTTAGTAAAGGAGGAGAATATGGCTCTAAAAATACCAATTAGTTCTGTCCTTCCAGAGGATTACACTAATGTGCTAGTTTAATAGTGTACTATTCCAATATTACTACCTGGTTAAAAGTACACAATTTAAAAGCTTTAACTGGAATATGTATATATACATATATATAATAACTGTAAGCAAGTATTTAAAAGCTCAAGGCATTAATTCTCTAAAATACCAAGGCGTACCTTTTCCCAGTGAAGTGCACTGTGAAATACCTTTTCTCCCCCCACACAGACAAACCAAGCTGTTTCTTTAAAAAAAAAAAAAAAAACAAAAAACCTATCATTACAGATGCCAATAAAATTATCTCTAAAATTCTTGGCTGATTTTCAGTTAGGCCTCAGTAAAACTAACATACGATTTAACTGCTTGTTAAAAGCCATTAAGACTGGATATTAGTTTCATTTATTAGGAATCGAAAGCAAAATGAGGATTACCTGTTTCAAGATGCCCGCTGCCATTTCATGGCTGCAGTCAAAGATGACATGGAATTCCTTTCCTCTTTTCATCTCCTTTAACAATGGCTTTGCATCTTTTGTGTCAGCTGGTAACTGACGGATTTTTAGTCTCAGGTTATATCGTGATGGAGCCTTGATGAGCTCTTGTAATCGAATAAGGCCTTAAAGAAAACAGAGGAGTCAAAGAAAAGAAAATTATCAAAACAGGAACCTGAGTCGCTAGCAGAGCAATTTACTACAAACATTGAAAAATTTCTGAATTTCTCTCCTTTTTCAGCATGCTGCAGCTGATACAGAGAAATGTATTTTAAAATAAGAGTATCTATACTTCATATGCTTTCCTATCTCAAGCCTTTCCTTAATATTAGCTGACAGTAAGTACTTTCAGTTTGTATCTTAAGACAAATTTTCCCTCATGGAACTATAATACCGCTCCTCAAAGAAGAATTATTTTAATTCAGTTAAAGTGACATCCCAGACTAATTGCTTATAGTCAGACTAGATAATCTCTTAACTAATCTATTCAGTCTTGACACAAAGTTGTAGAACACTTCAATATTACACAACATCATCGTATAATCCACGATAGTACTCAATTTTTCTTTTTTTGTTTATACAGGTAATAGCACAAAAGCAGCAGTGAAGAGGATGACTAATGCCTTTGCAGTCCTCTTCAGTATTTCACAATTCCATTTTAGATTACTAAACTTTCACTATGAAAGTAGATGCAGTAATATTTTCCCCCAAATCTTCTTGTTCATACCAGCAAGACAGCAAATGGTGTGGTATAGAGACCATTGATTGGTCTGTGACCAATATTGAAAATTAGGTTATTCAACTGTCTTCAGACAACAGGATAAAGACAGGTCTTTCATAAAGTAGCAGTTTATTTCAGCACTAGCAAAAAAGATGTGCTAACCATCTTTTTGCATTGGAGGGTACTCTGCTTAATGGCAGTAAAAGAGTTACTGTTCTTACTGTTTCCAAACTACGTGCAGTTTGGTGTACACACTGAACTATCAAAAAAAAAAAAAAAAAAAAAATAGAACCTCTGCTTAGTATTTCCTCTAATCAGGGCCTCTAAAATTTGAGATAGCTCACTTTACTGCATCAAAGAATCTAATGGAAATTACTAATTATTATTTAATTATCATCACAGGCACATCATCTAATATATATACTGCATTTTGAATTATTCCTAAATATTCTTCCTGGTTAAAACTGAATGTCAAAGCTGCCTTGATTTCGTAAAAAATATGTAAAAAATATGTAATATTGCATGAAAACATACTACAGTTTCAGCAAGAAGTCGTGATAAGCTCTGCAATAAAGAGACTTTATTTTTGTTTTGGCACATATCCTTTTTCCAAAATACATTTTTTTTTGTCAAATGACATAACACTGAAAGCCTTTAACAACATAATATTTCAACAAGGCTTTTGTTATGATGCTTTTAGACTGCAAAACATCCTTAGCTCTAATAATTTTCAACCGAATTAGACAAATAGATAAAACATCTGAAAAACAAAATTAGACACTTATTTCATCATTCCACCTCTTTTGACCCTGCAAAGGATAGACATTATTTTCTTAATACTTCTGGAATTAGCTGGAACTGGAATTGTAGCTTATTATATGAAATCTTCCCAAATTAAGACCTCAGGTTGTAAACCTGGTGTAGGAATTCAATAGATCTTTCAGGCCCAAAAGCAGCATTGAAATGAATGGAGGTATTTCTGAATCAATTCAAAGTTTTAAACAGTCCACACAAATGCATCTTGGTTGAGGGATTTATGAAGAAGATAGAAACAGCAACTCTCGGGGCAACAGAGCATTAATTTAGCTCTTGGTTGGCTGTGTAGGTCAAGCTTGCTATGCAGTTAATTTAAGAAATGTTTTGTCACAGGTCTACATCATGGATACAGCATTTCATCACAAATTTTTGGTAACACTGCTAGAACACACATACACATTCAAACTGAAACAATTGTTCCTATAGCTAAATAACCTACGAAATTTCTAATTTCAGTGAAACGTTTGTATAGGATCTTCATTAACAACAAGCATTGTGAAGAAATAAACCCAGAAAATTCGATTGCTGATTATCTTCTTATAAAAACACAACGTGAAATATGATAGCATTTTTCTGCATAAGAGTATGCCAAAATTTAAGGTCAGAGCAAAATATTCTAGCTCAAGAAGGATGAAAAATAATTCCACATGTTCCAAATTATTTTTAATAGCTTACTTGAAACAGTAAATTGGAAACTTTTTAACAATAATAATTTTGACTCACATTACACTATAACTGGTGTGTCTAATTTTAGGTTTGTCTTGTTTTGCTTACTTCATATTTTTTTCCGTTCTGCCTTGAAAAGAAGATAAAAGTCAACTTTAAAGAACCACAGAAACATCACTACACTTGTTGACAATCTTCAGCACAGATGCTGAAGGCAGAACAGATATGATTAGACCTGGTCTCATTAACAGATCTCATTCATCCTTGCTAAGACAAAAAGAATAGAATATGGTGGCCTTCATGCAAATGGCAGATATGAGTCTACATGATTGTGAAAACAGTAATTTTAGAAACAATAATTTGAATAAACCTTGCCACGCTTACCTCAAATGCTATACTGGTATTTAGAGTAAATGAATCAACATACTTAATTGAAACTTAAATGGATTTGATGCTTGATTTCCAAATGCCTCAACTAAATAAACATGAGGTATCTTAAAGTTGGACTGGATGATCCTGTAGGCCTTTTCCAATCTTTGTAATTCCATGATTCTTGATTCTGTGATGTTCTCTTCACACTGGTGACAGGTGAGACAAGAGGAAACAGCCTCAAGTTGGACCAGGGGAGGTTTACGTTAGGTATCAGGAAAAAATTCCTTACAGAAAGGGTTGTTAAGCACTGGAATAGGCTCCCCATTGAGAAGGTGGAGTCACCATGAATGTGTTTAAACACTGTTTGGATGTGGTGCTTAGGGATATGATTTAGCAGTGTGTTGTTAGTTAGGATAGCATGGTTATGTTGCAGTAAGACTTGACGATCTTGAATGTCTTTTCCAACCTGAGCAATTTTATGATTCCATCTTGAAGAGTTGTATTTTTTGTTTTTGTTTTTTGTTTTGTTTTTGCTTTGTTGTTGTTTAACTGAAAATATCATGCATCTACTACAGTTTATCATATTCAGATGATCTAGTACAATTGTTCAAAAGTAAAGCTTTGACATAAAACAATCTAGCATATACTACTGCCATTAATGACTCTATCAAAAATAATAGACAATACTACGACAGCAAAAACACTTAGGGTTGCCTCCAAGCCTGTCCAGTTCTTTAAGGCTAAAAACATAAAGCAACTTGAATGTGTGCTCTTGAAATGAAAACATTAAGATGATTTCAGACTGACAGAAGGGTAGCATTTCAAAGCTGTGATTTTTTCAAAGGTAAAGTCCTGCCAGTTTCTCACTCGCTTTGATTTCTATGCAATTCCACTTAAGAACTCCGACAAATCTGGGACAGATAGTATGACACACTCCTGTTGAAAAGAAAAAAAAACCTGGCATTTGATACTCAGTAGTTAAATATGACCAAGAAGACAGACAGAAAACCATCCTTCTAAATAAAGTTACTTCAAATCAAATAGTGCTGCAAAATGTGCTGCCATATAAGCATCTGATATGCAAGCTGTTGAGTCTATAAACTAGAGACATAGATCTACTTGAACTATCACATCACACTGAAAAAGTTAAAAAGAAAAAAAAAAAAGGCAGGTGAAGGGATGAAACTGTGAAGCTGGAAAGGGGTGAATACAAATGTACAGGCCTTATAATTCTGAGAGATTCAGATAGCAAAAGGGACTTTGGGAATGAGCTGGATTTGAACATACAAGCAATATTTAGTGGAAAAAGTGCTGCGCTGCACCAAACATCTGCTATAAACATTGATTCCTTGCAATAGATCTTAACAACTGGAAGCCATGCTGAGTATGGGAGATCAGTCAAGACATCGTGAAGCTTGTAAAAACAGATTTATGCCATGTAGGAAAGAGATGACAATCAGTTTCACATGTCAGGAATCAGTATCTCAAGGGGAAAGTGTTTTTCTCAAAAAATTCAAATTCAGCATTTTTTTAAATACCAAAGTTTAGAAGGAAATCTGATTGTTCTTGACTGCAACTGTTCTTTTAAAACACTTTTTACTTAGAAGGGCAAAGTACCTAACGTATTTGAAGTAGTTATACTGTTCACTGAAGATGAAGACAGTGAGGACAGTTAATGTTGTAAAAAAAAAGTTAAAATTGAAGAAATGAAGGAAGAGGTTGGCTGCTTTTCTGTTACATGTCCATAGGCTCTGAAATTTTAGTAAGCAAATTCAGGGAATTATAAAGCAAACTGTTCCTTTATGTCTTGCAGAAACTATCAGAGGAACCTGAACATGAGCAAAGGGGGACAGAAAACCTGCAGATGCACACCGCTGTAGTGCACTGACTAGGTCTCATTGCTGGAGTAGTACAGGAATGCCTGAAAGCACACGAATAAATATTTATGGCTTCATAACTGCTAGGACACACAAACTGTAATGAACAAATTCCTCAAAATATATTTTAAAGAAAAGGAAATTTGAGACACAATACTCTTGCTCACAATTTCTATGTATATCACAATATTTAATTCTAGTAACGTTTAATTCCAGTTAACATTTAATGCATTCGAGCCACTGGTAGCATTCATTAAGTTCAGATGAATTATGCAGGGCACAAAATATGTTTCAGTCTATTAACTTTGGTAGTCTACTCAGCCACCCAGTGGGCCATCTGCTAACAAGGAATATTTGTTCATCCTTATCCATACTTAAAAAGCAATTCCACACAGGCATGAATTCAGCAGCTCCAGTTTGCCAGGTCCCCTTGGGAAGGCTGTCAGAAAGCACAACCCCAGGTGAGGCAGGGTGACCACTGCACATGCCCCCCAGGCACAGTGCATGACATGACAGGGGCAGTGATGGTGACATTATGTTATGGCTGGCACTGCTACAGTTGCCCTACAGCTTCATACTACAGAGGAACGCCTCACAGAACAAAATCTGCATTTTGATGAGGATACCTGCATCTAATGCTTTTATTAGGCAAGAGCTCCACTGGGTGAAGTAC